AACCAAGTGCAATTATAGCTCCAGAGGTTTTTTTTTAATGTTTTTCTATTTTACCTACTCTGTGTGATGTGTGCAATCTGAGTGCCCTTCTTTCTCTGCTGTAATGTGCTCAGCCATGACACTGAAATGTCTCCACTGTGGGACAAATAAAGCGTTATCTTATCTTACTCGTGGTGACCATAGCAACATGTCATGAAGTGGTCAACTCCGGGTGTTAGAAGTATAGCCCCTATTACAATCATTTCAGTTTTGTCTGCATTTAGCTGCACAAAAGTTTCTTCGGGTTTCTGTCTTTTTGCTAATACAGTGAAAAATATAGTTCTTCCATTTTCCTTTCACAGCAGAAAATACTGCATCGGCAAAGTATTGAGAAGGATGCACCGTCAGTGGGTTGTGACTTTTGTGGACGTGACTTAGACCTGTCCATAAAGTACGGATCCACGGGACGAAAGAGGAGGCTGTCAACATCTGGAGCCGTGCTGACGATATAGACTTTAATGATTCTGTTTTTAAATGTGTTTCCTTTGGTTTGGTTTGTACAGATATTTGTTTGTGTTCTGAACCATGGGTGTGTTTGTGTGAGTGTGTTCTTTTGTTGAAAGAATAATTGCAAATTGAAATAGAAAGGATATAAAATTAAGAAATTAAATGTCAACTGTTTGTGATTCCCATCCCCCCTCTCTCCCTCTGCTCCTCCTTCTCGCCCTCTCTTACTTTTCTTCCTCGCTAATCTCCTCCTCCCTCTCTCTCCTATATTCTTCCCTCTCTCTCTCATCTCCTCCTCCCTCTCTCTCCTATATACTTCCCTCTCTCTCATCTCCTCCTCCCTCTCTCTCCTATATTCTTCCCTCTCTCTCATCTCCTCCTCCCTCTCTCTCCTATATTCTTCCCTCTCTCTGATCTCCTCCTCCCTCTCTCTCTCATCTCCTCCTCCCTCTCTCTCCTATATACTTCCCTCTCTCTCTCATCTCCTCCTCCCTCTCTCTCCTATATCTCTGATCTCCTCCTCCCTCTCTCTCCTATATACTTCCCTCTCTCTCTCATCTCCTCCTCCCTCTCTCTCCTATATACTTCCCTCCCTCTCATCTCCTCCTCCCTCTCTCTCCTACTTTCCTTCCTCTCTCATCTCCTCTCCCTTCTCTTCTACGTTCTTCTCCCCTCTCTCTCCATCATCCCCCCTTATCCTTTCTCTCCTGACTTGTAAAAGGTTTTAACACATACTTTAGAAAAGAAAGTTTGTTTTGAAAAAATAAGTTTGTGGTGACTGTTTGAACCTTTCATGTGGTTTTATTGAAGGATTCAAAAACCTATTGTTAAAGTCAAACTATCTACAGTAAATCTACCCATCTCCTCAGCTCCTGTTTACCACACACACACAAGCACACACACACACACCACACACACACATACACACACACATACACACACCACACACACACACACAAGCACACACACAAAGAAGAGACAGAGCAGCGGCTGTTGTCTACAATATGGTTTATTCTGTGCATGGTGCTTTGTACACGTGTGATGGAAAGAAGGGGGTTAAACCTGAAAGCAGTTGACTAAAACAATAATCCATAATAATAATAACAATAATAATAATAACAAACTTATGGAGACAGACAGACGTCACTGAAGAGAGAGGTCAGCGAGGAGCGGACAGTGTGCGGGCACCGGGGGGTCACCGATATGCAGTACATTCAAATACATTCACATACGGACATCTTAATCGAGGAGCGAGAGGCAGCCATGGCGTCATTCATCAGATTCAAATCAGAAGATATAGAACATTTGCTTATAAAAAAACCTGATTGGAAAGAGTGGGTTTGTGGACCACTGCTCAAAAGCTTCAATCATTTACAGAAAAGTCAGGTAAAAACTCTTACTAAAGATATTTACTTTGTTAATTTGCAGAACACATTTTCACGTATCTTTACACGAACACGGGTTTGAAAAGGGGTTGGATGAAGCAGACGCCATTAACAAGGTTTATATTGAGAATTAAACAAGTGGTACAAACAGTAGAATTTGTTTCATCTTTCTTAGTGTTTGTTTGGAGATTATTGATGGACTTAGCACAGAGCAGAACGCCTCAGCAGCTCCACTCATGAGGCATTAACAGATGTAGGAAATAAAAAATAGAGTATTTGAGGCTTAGGGGAAGTTAGAGAAAAACATTCTTGAAACAAGCTAAGGGGGGGGGGGATAGTAGGGGTGTAATATTGATTTATAATCCATTACATTGTGTTTGGGCAGAGTCCTCCATGTCCTACACTTACTCTCCCAGAACTGCAGTAAAATATCACAATAATCTGCCTATACTGTAGTTTAGAATGGGGAGATCTTGCATCACATTGTATCACGACAGATGTACTGTATCGTGAAGTGTATCTCCAGAAACAAGTATGTTTGATGAAGGAAAAATGTGTGCGGTTTAAGAAAAAATCATAAATGTGTATTGAATATTTGTCACACCTCACTAATACTACAGCTGTCCATGTTGTTTTCCCTCTTGGACTGAAAGAACACATTTTTACTGTGACGACCTGAGTTTTGTGTGGTTTGAGGGCTGCTGCTGCTGCTTTGTCCTCCTTCCCGGTTCCAGCCAATGGGGAAGCTGATTTGGACTGACAGCAAATGGAGATTGGTGGGAACGACCAAATTCAAAAGGCTCTCAAGAAGTTAGCCTGCTCACCATGCACTAGCAGCCTTTTATAATAAATACCTGATTTTTGTACATTTTTTGTACATTTTTAAACATTTGTGGACTCCATTTTTGTTCGAATCTTGAGCCAGTTCGTCACATTACTTTGTGTCTGATGAAAACAATACATTTAATGTGTAAATGTTTAGGTTTTTGAAACTTCTTTTTCACTTCAGTACATTCAAATCTTCATGGATTAAGATTTTTTTCCTAATTGTTTGATGATTAGGAAATACAATTATGCAATGCAATCATGACACAATGAAGGTTTTTGTTCCCTCACACTTTCTAAGATTTCAGCACCAAGTTTGACCCACTTTCCGTTCCCCAAATGCACGGCTCAGAGTGGATCCTGCTGTCCACATGTTGCATCATGGTGCACTGAATGACAGTCCATTTTTGCACAAGAGATTTTCCAAATAGCCCAAAGTGGTGTAGTGCAGAAAACTCTGGGAGTGTTCGGCCTAAACGCTATTTTACCATTAAATAATAATGAAAAATATCTTCTGGAAATTAAAAAATAATATCAAATGTATTATCATTATGATTATTACCGGTAATTAATGATGACATACATATTGATGATAAAATACATAATCGTAATACTGATAATAGTAATAATAATGACGATAATATATGTAATAATGATTTCATTCTTTTGAGCAGTGTTGTTAACCTAATTATGTTTGTTCAGAATGATAAACTTGGGCCCAGTGCACACTGTCCGTCAGTCAAAGCATGAAGAGCAGGAGAGGACTGGGCATGCTCAGTCCGCCTCTGAGGGAACGCCTTCTGTACAGAGTCTGGAGGTTACACACGATGCACAACAGAAGACAGAATCAGAGGAAATAAATAAATAAATAACACATGGTTCCTACAGGTTTCTTCAAGTCTTTAGAACATGTTTTAAGAGAATTTATGGATATTTATTAACATTTATGGACATTGGTCATCTTTCAAAATGACTGCTCAGGAGTTCTAGTAGTTTCACACCAACATTTCACATTGTGAGCAAATGTAAAAATGTGAATTTTGGCTTATGGTGTGAGTCTGCGTTGTCGTGCTGTAGCAAAGTGAGGCGATCTAACCAGTATCATTGTCATATAAGTTACTGTTTTTAATCAAAATAACAGTGGTTGGAAATTAAATACGGCACACATTTTAAAATCCTTTAAAAGTGTTTTAAAGGTATAATATTATTTCCACACTCATTAATTCAATGGTTGTAAGACTTTTAAGAGCCTGTAGGAACCCTGATATCAGTCACTTTTCACCTAAAGTGACTGCGCTACAACCAAAACGACATGGGAGAACCACTTCATACAGAATCAAAAAGACGGTGAGAGAAAACAAGAGCGTCCCCTGGATTGATAAAATTCTTTTGTACACATACATTGAAAAAATACTTTTCACATTGAGCGGGAGAAAAATAAAGGACTTACTGTACAAGAAATGGCATTCGAGAGGGACCTTAAGAAATAGCACCCACAACCCCATCAAAAAACAGCTCCGCGTTTTGATTCTAGACAACCAATCGTGACCGTACGAAAAGTTTGTAGAAAAATAAAGTCGCCGTAGTAATATCAAGTTTAAAAGACCAAATGCCGGTGAAAATGTAGTTAAAATCTCCAGGCAAAACAGGAGAACTTCCACAAATGTAAACGCTACTCTCATTTGTCGCCTTTAAAAAAGATTGGAGTTGGTCGTCAGTCCAGCTGTTGGCAGTGGGCGGAGCCTGGGGAAATTGTGGGTGGAGCCCCAGGAGATGTGGGCGGGGCCCGTCGACGTGTAGGTCACAGATAGAAGGTGGGCTTTAAGCGTGGGGGATTTTGGGAAAAGGGTCTGGATAAGTCCATGTGTGGTCGTGGTGAGTTTCGTAGCTGGGTGGCCGGGTGTGGGGGTTAAAGCTGGGGAACCTAACTTTTTAGTTCATGAATAATACCAATCAGACCATAATGTTCTTCATCTTATTGGGAAACACTGTTGTATACTGTATCTGTGGCAGGGAGCTTCAAACTAGAATGTTTTTTGTGACACTTTTGAATGTGTACCATACTGCAAAAAATGATAAAATATGAGGTAATAATTGCATTTTTTTTTTTCATTTGACTGTCTTAAAACAACATTTACCAATGGGACAAACTCATTCAGTCTTTTTTCAAAACTCTTTTTTAAAGGCAGTCCAAATGTGCTCAAATTAAAATACATTTTGCGTAATTTGAGCCATTTTTCTGCCTTATTTTTCATCACTTTTTGCAGTGCATGTTTGACATCTTGAAAATCAGGCACCCCAGCTTTAACTCGATAGGTGGTGGTGGTGAATGCAGAAGCGGGTGGCCCAATGTGTCGGTTGAGCCCATACGTTGCCGTGGCGAGCTCGAAGCCGGGTCCCAGAGGGGCGTGGCCTGGTGCCGTGGTGGAGGTTAGAGGTCATGTGGGTGCTGGGGCAGAAGAGAGGGCAGCTGGAAGACAAGTTAAATTGTTAGACATGAAGAAGCAGTATATATTGAGTATGTTTTGAAAAAGTGAAAAAATTAGTGTTTGGATTTTTTTACTGGATCGAACTATTTACTTTGCCTTTACACCGGATAGACATTGGATACTACCGAGACAAGGCCAGGAGGTACATTTAAGAGCACAGGGAAAAGCCATGTTTATGTTACAAATGTATGTGTTTGGAAGCATCACTCATTATGCTCATTCAAATTTGTTTTTGGCATTTGCAGTAAAACCACATTAGAATACATGTGCAAAAAGTACCCCAGTAAACCGGATACTACTGAGACAAGGCCAGTACCCTACCAGACAAAAAAACCCATCATTGAGCAGATAGTGCGCACCAGAGCTCTTGCTACGGCGCCATCTTCAACCGTCTCCAAGCACGTGCTTTGTCGCTCTCGTCATGGCCCCGTCTTGGCTGCCCTCTTGTGGCCAAGTATATGTTTGCTGTTCTCTGCAGGTGTCGCTGGGGAGTGGCATTGGCTGTGCGTGCATAGGTCCGACGCACATCAAAGACCCGCCTCCAGCCATGCTCACTTCTCTCCCAGCCCTGCACCTGAGTACCCACACCTTTTTGACATTTGTTTACTTTGGCTTTTTTTCATACTAAACTTTTTTATAATTGACATTTGTTTGTTTGGTGCATCCTTGGTTATAGCCTAGAGCCGGGTTATATCCCTCTGGACCCTGTTTCAATGTTTTGTGTTGGTTTTTGTTGCATGAGACAAAAGCAGGAAACAATTATACTAACTATTAAATAATTAAGATTAAGATATTAAGAGAGAGTAAGGAAATTTCAGTGTTGCATCACCAGTCACAGAACAGTAGGAATGAGGAGCACAGCATACAGCAAAACATTGGCACAATAAAGAAGCAGGAATTAAGTACATAATCTCTGACTTTAGAATGATATAAAAGTAAGTATAAATCTCAGACTTTAGCATAATAAAGAAGCAAGAATAAAGTATAAATAATGTCCTTGTCTTGCACCATACTGAGGAACATGAAGCATTCCAGCTCACGAATTTTCATCTCACGAATTGTAACTAGTTTTTTAACTTTAGATTTGGACAGAATTATTAGATGTCTTCACTGTAGTTATAGAACAGGGCATTTACAGTGGACCGACTTGGACATAATGAGGAAAGTATGGAAGCTTTTGTGAACACGTCTGTAGAGCTTAGGCCCTGGCAGAACGCTTGGTGATGATTGACGTATGCAGATTATATTATATTATAGAGAGAGGGAGAGGAGAGCTTTTCCCCCTGAGGATCTGACCTCTGGGGGTGGGGGAGATGAGCTTTGGAGCGTAGAGGGGAAATGGGAAAGAGACGCTGTGAGAGATGGGAGGGAGGAGAAGGCTGAAGTCTCACTGTAATACAGCACTGCAAAAAATGATGAAATATGAGGTATAAAATGCTTGAATTTGATAATGGCACAAAGCTATTTACCTGTTTTCAAAAAAAAATCTCATTCCAAGGGAGACGTTTCTTGTGTCTTTTTTAAAACAAGATCCTTTTGCTTTGTCTCACTGGCAAATTTTGATTTAAGGCGGTCAGAATGTGCTCAAATTAAGATTGAGCCTAATCTTTGGACTGATTCTTCATTACTTTGAGCAGCGCGTGAAAGCTCCAACTTCTACAAAGCCACAGTCACATTAAGAAAAACATTCGTCACAGCGGCGGCAAAGTCACCAGAGCGGCTCCCTGAACATATGGCTCTCTTCCTGAACCACGGCAGCTCTGTCCAAACACCACAGGCTGGAGTTATTCACCAATATTTATGCCATCTCCCTCTTATGCTAAGGCTGGTGCTTTACCATATACTGTATATCTAGTCCATACATTTGCATTATACCTGAGCTCATTCTAAAGAGTGGAAAATCCTTGCGGGATGAGTTTTTCTGCACATTTCGGATGTTTGGAATCAGTGTTCCACAATCTTTTCGAGCTCACACGACACCTCCAGCTGGAACTGATACAACCATGAAACTCTGCAAACTTTATAAACAATACAGTTATTCTCTTCAAGTTGTATCGTATGGAAAATCATCAAACAAGTGCAAAAAGTTCTTTCTCATCTTCTAAGATAAGATAAGATAGACTTTCCTGATCTCACACTTGAGATATTGACATGTAATTTGGCATATTTAGAGTCACTCAAATTGTGCAAAAAGACAGAAGGGTGCAAACATGTTAACGGTCAACAAAGTAGTCTGTGAAATATACAATTATATACAATAAAAAGTGGCATTGAGATGAGAAAGAGACCTGTAGCTCTTCTCAAGAAAGTGGGGGCCAGTGGTCCGCTGTGATTGGTCACAATCTGGTCCCGAAACAAATTCTCTTCCATGTTGCACTAAAACTCGATCTAAAATAAAATGACACGCCAGCACAAATCTGCACTACTTTTACTTCAAAAGGACGTATCTCAATGCACTGCATGGATATGGTTTGAATTTTCGTAATGAATACAAAAATAAAGTGAGGTAATGCAGCTTTAAGGTGACCGTAGCGCAATCTGCATTTGACCCATCCTGTAATTCCATTAGGGCGTATTAGTATTAGATAGCAATATGGCCTACGTGCAGGACTGTACAAGGACTCTACAAGGACTCCATGTTATGACTATGATGTGACTGTCTCTTTGTGACACGTATGTCTTTCGATGTGTGACGTGACAATGACTATATAAACTGTGTACTGCCTTTATTCTGTCTGAGAAAAAGAAACAGAGTAAACCAGTGGAACTTGAGAGAAACTTAAATAAACTTCCAGAGTTTGGCACACCACGATCCGTCTCTGTCTGCTAAATCCTAACAGATTTGGTGGAGAATGCGCGGCTCAGTTTGTGCCATTCTCTGGATTGTTTTGAGGGAGCTTGCTCTGTTTCTTTTCCTCTGCGTGAGAGATCGGCATGCTGTGTCTGGGAGCGGAGATTCCAGCAGGCTGGAAGAGCTGTTCCTGGATGCTTCTTGTCGCTTCTGTCACTTTTGTTTTTTAAATTGAAGATTCCGACGCGGAAAAGAGTTGGCAGACCTCTCGGACAGCCCGTGCGCACCTCTTTGACAAGAATAAGGTAAGCAGACACCTTTTTAAATGTAAAGTCTGCATAATTGGATACTAGCTAAATTTTTTGAGGTCTGTCGAACTCTCTAAATTGTGTTCAAATAAGTGAAAAGGCCATAATAAGTGAATAGGATCCATAAAGTGAAAAGTGTTGGCCATTAAAGTGAATAGGATCCATAAAGTGAAAAGTGTTGGCCATTAAAGTGTATAGGATCCATAAAGTGAAAAGTGTTGGCCATTAAAGTGAATAGGATCCATAAAGTGAAAAGTGTTGGCCATTAAAGTGAATAGGATCCATAAAGTGAAAAGTGTTGGCCATTAAAGTGAATAGGATCCATAAAGTGAAAAGTGTTGGCCATTAAAGTGAATAGGATCCATAAAGTGAAAAGTGTTGGCCATTAAAGTGAAAAGGATCCATAAAGTGAAAAGTGTTGGCCATTAAAGTGAGGATCCATAAGTGAAAAGTGTTGGCCATTAAAGTGAGGATCCATAAAGTGAAAAGTGTTGGCCATTAAAGTGAGGATCCATAAAGTGTAAAGGCCATAAGTGTTGGATCCAAAAGTGAAACCATGGTGTAAACATAAAAGTTATTATAAAAAGGGAAATGTGTTAAAGAGGCCTTTGTTACAAAAGCGTTGAAATTGACGAATTTCAGGCTGATAAATGACAAAAGTAAAGAATCAACAATATTTCAGTGATCACGGTTTAAATTACATACAGAAAAAGGAGTTTTTGTTTTTTGGAGTGAACAGAGTTCACCGGAGAATGCAGAGTTTTATCTAAAGTTGAGCTATGAGAGCTTTCGTGAGTTATTTACATTTTTTGCCGAGTTTTATCTACAGTTGAGCTATGAGAGGGCTGTATCCAACAGTTGTTTTTGTTTTTTAGAAAGAGATTTTAAGTTTAAATTAGTTTGCTACCTCGATAAAATAGAAGCGTAAACGTTAAAGACAAGAGTGCCTTTTGTTACTAGTGTGGAAAGTGATCACTTCTAGATTTGGATGACAAAAGTATAAAGAACAACATCAGTTATATTCGCTTAACAAAGTAATCTTGAAAGTTATTCTTCTGTATCTTTTTGCCTGTGTGTGTGCGTCGCTCTATCTGCTGCCGTTGTCAGGGAAACGGCCCCCTCCTTCGCTGCTCTGGCTGTGAATCTGAAGCAAAGCTACTGCTTTAGGAATTTGGCTTTTCATAGTAGTTATTCCGTTAAATTTGCTAAATTTGCCATTTGAACATTGTGTTAGACACAGTTAAACGTTTTTAAACACCATTAGGGAATAGAAGTTTTGAATTAGTATGTTTTTGAAACCCAAAGATTAGTACAAAAAGCTTTGCTTTTCTTTTTAAATCTGCTGCTTATTTTGTGAGTCCATTATTGTATATCTGATATTTCATAGCTGTTAGTGAGAATTTTTTTATGTTTTTATTTTAGTTACAAAAGCCGTTTTTCAAACATTTAAATTAGAATCTGTTAAAAGTGATTAATGATTGTAGACTTCGTCTAAAAAAGAAAGAGGGAATTAGGCTGTAAAAGTATTATATTATTAAGTTAAACTACCCAATTCACCCAATTCACATTCAAGTGGTGACTTTTGTTTTTGTTTTGACTATGCACCTGACCTTCCTCCTGCTGCAGATGCACGCAGCACAGGAGCCTGGTCTAAAATGTGCTCCAATTCATACTGACTTCATTTGAAAAATGCTGCAATTATTTTAAATTAGTAGAATAGATGCTGAGATAAATAAGTGTAAAAGGGAAAGTCCATAAAGTGAAACCCAAGATGTTCAAGATTAAAAACATCACACAGTACAAAAGTACATAATACATATTTTAAAGTTTGAAGGTTTAAGAGATTTGAGTCTTGTTTTTTTATATTGAGAGTTTCTGGTTTTAAATGTCATCATTAGTAAGATAATAAGTAATCTTTTATTTACATAGCGCTTGGGAAAGCCAAGAGCGCTTCAAAATTGTTTAGACTTCAGAGAGAAAAACAATCTCATTCACAATCTCTGTTGTTTTTAATTTGACTATAAGGTTGTTTTCCAGAACCAAGAGCACACACTGTACAGGGTCACTGGACTGCTGGACACTGGACAGCGCAACGCCCACCCAGCCACAGGTCACAGAGCTAAGAGCAAAGGGAAATGCCACCTCCTTGCCCCTCCCCACGCCACTGCAGAACTGAGTGGGTGTGAGAGAGACCGGGGCCATGAAAGAGAGGTATCTGGAGACGTGATGGGTGGAGCGTCAGGTAGAGACCTAGAGGGAGTTGAAAGTGTGTCTACGTGGTTTACATCACCACAGTGTGACCTTTGAGACCTGCAGGTGGTTCGTGGAGTCTGGAGAGACAACCCCAAAATTCATATACACACACACATACACACATACACTCACACATTCACATTTACATATAGATACATGAAAAAGCAGAACATGAGAAAAAAAGCATTAAAAGTTTACTCCAATGTAAACATATTTTTAATTGTCTATCATTTGAATCAGTATTTTTTGAGACCAGAAATGTTCATTTGAATTCTATATTGTCATGGACATAATTGACGTCTGTCCTGACACTTTTGATTTGTTGATTTTGTACTGTGTGAAGTAATTACATTGATTTTTTGTATTTTTGTATTTTTGTATTTTTGTTGAACTGTTGAGCACGCGGGAGTGAGCACGCGTTTTTGACGTCTCTGCTCTGTTTACCCTTTTAAGCCTTTTAAAGCCTTTTAAACACGTTTTTACGGTGTATTAGTGTCTTTTATACACTCTAGTGTTTTTACCTTAAATGCAATGGTTCCAGAGCATCACGTCTTTTAACACAAAGACCCAATCGAAACGCGCTAGCTCGGAGGCTACCAGACATGGAAAGTGACACTGCAATGACCACGAACGACATTAGTCGCCTCACATTGGAGCTTCGTGAGAGGGACCGTGCCACTATTGCAGACCTCCGTAAAGAAGTCCTTCGCCTCACTGCAGAGCTGCAGGACAAACAGTCACTCGTGTCCAAACTTTTTGATGTCGCTGGCGGGCAGCACTCACGGCTTATGTCACTGAGCGCTGCATACTGTGACACTGTCGTGTGGGAGAGGTCTGTCAGCTCTGGACCCTCCTGTTCTACACCTAAGCGCCCGGTTCCGAATGAGGAACCCGCGAACTGCGAGGAGCCATCCAGCGCCGTGGCCCATGTCCTAAGCCTGTCAAACCGCTATGCAGCCCTCTCCGCTGACATCCCAGCCCCCTCAGCAGAACCTCTGGACTCTGCAGCGTACTCTGCTGTCCGTGGATCCAGGTCCACTGCGAGAAAAACGCTCCTAAAGGAAGCCGTCCTCAGACGAAAGAGTGGTCATTCCCCTTCTCTGACCCCAGTGCATCACCACCACTTACCTTCACCGGGTCAGCAGCAGCGACCCGAGCCTGCTCCTCATGCCGCTCCAGCGTCCCCGTGCACACAGCGTGGGTTGCCCGGAGCTGAGAATCAACACCCCCGCTCCCCTCCATGTGTTCAGCAGCGCCCTGGTTCGGACTCATCCCTGGATGAGCCCGCTGGTTCCGGCCATGGACACCGAGCGCCTTCTCCGCGGCTACGTCCACTCTTCGCCCCGACTACTTTGATTGTTGGAGATTCCATCGTGAGGCACGTCCGCTTTTTTAACGCGGTCACTCAGTGTTTTCCCGGAGCCACTGTACCAGACCTGCTCATACGTCTCCCTCCTCTGCTTCACTCCCTGCCTGATACCATTTCAAAGGTAATCGTGCATGTGGGGATCAACGACATGAAGCTGCAGCAGTCCGAGGTCACAAAGAAGCATTTTATGGATCTATTCCGTCTTCTCCAGTCCTCTGGGTTGTGTGTTTTTATCTCTGGTCCAGTCCCGACTGTAAACCGGGGAGACTGCTTGTACAGTCGCGTTGTGGCGCTGAATATGTGGCTCCAGTCTACATGCAGCACTTTTAACTTTGTTTTTGTGAACAACTTTGGCCTGTTCTGGAAGCGTCACGTGGCCTATCGTCCAGACGGTCTGCACCCGAACAGATACGGTACCAGTTTATTGATGGACTTTTTACGCCATGTTGTTCAGTGCTCCCCGAGGGGGGCGTGACTGTTTACATCCGAGGCCTCTCGGCCCCCACTACCACCTTCCTCCTCCACTCCAGCACCGGGTGAGTACTGTGGTGCAAACACTGACCCCTGTCCGTCTGGCAGTGTAATACCAGTCCTGCCATTGAACGGTGCTTACTCAGCCATGCATCTGGAACTTAACAAAGTAAAACAGAGTTCACTTTTTAAACCAATAGAGACTGTGTGTGTTCCTCGCACCGGCTCAGAAATGTGTTTTAATTTGAATAAACACAAATATAACAGAAGGACAGCAGTTAGACGGTCCAACTCAGGAAATCTAATTCCAATTCTTTGTAGTCAATCAACTAAACCCACTGACACTGACATTATTTTTAACCTTGCTCTGCTTAATGTCAGATCACTATGCAATAAATCCTTTTTAATTAATAATTTTATCTGTTCTTATGATCTTGACTTTATGTTTATGACTGAAACTTGGCTTGACCATAATACAGAAAATGCAGTTTTAATAGAAACAACACCACCAAATTTCAAATTTGAATCAGAAATTCGAGAAAATAAAAGAGGAGGAGGCACAGCAGCAGTTTTTAAAGATTGTATTGTCTCCCATAGAGTACCTCTTGGGAAATTTTCCTCATTTGAGTATGTCTCTTTTAAAATAGAACAAAAACAATCTTCTATTCTTATTATTGTTGTGTACAAGCCGCCACAGTCATGTCATAGTTTCACTGATCATTTCACCGAGTTGCTTTCAGTTGTGTGCACAGACTTTGATAGTTTAGTCGTCATAGGTGATTTTAATATACATGTAGATAACGTTAATGATAGATACGCGAAAGAGCTGAGCTCTGTGCTGGAAACCTTTGGTCTCACTCAGCATGTGAGTGGCCCCACCCATAGCAGAGGACACACTCTCGATCTGCTAATTACTAAAGGGGTTAATATCTCAAATGTAAATGTGGCCAATGTTGCTCTGTCAGATCATTTCTGTGTATTTTTTGATATGTGTCTCAATAGTAAAGCACGAGCTGAATCCTCAATTGTTAGAAGAAGAAGACACATAAACAAAAATACAGGTGAACTTTTCATGGGGATGATAAACTTTGATAACACGTTGTGTTCTACTGTGGATGAATTACTTAACTCTGTCACCTCTAGTGTTTTGGATGTTCTGGACACGATTGCTCCTGTAAAGGTCAAAATTGTTACAAATAAGCAAAAGGCGCCATGGACAAAAGCAGACTCTGTCAGGGCACAGAAGAGAGAGTGCCGGAGAGCCGAGCGGAAGTGGCGAAAGTCAAATCTCCAAGTTGACCATGAGATCTTCAAAGATGCATTGTGCAAGTTCAACAGTGTGCTACGTAGAACGAGGGAAACTTATTTTTCCGAAACAATCGAAGGTTGTAGTGGCAATCTACGCGTTCTGTTCTCAACGGTAAATAAATTGACAAATCCCCCTGTTAAGATGCCATCAGAGCTTACCTCCAAAACCAAATGTAATGAGTTTGCAGAGTTTTTTAATGACAAAGTCCAAGGCATCAAAAATGCCATCACCTCCACAGTAGAAATTACAATCCAACAGCCAGTGAAGCTTTTTGGGCTGACACACTTTACACCAGTACAAAATGAAACTGTCCAAATGATAATTACAAGTCTGAGTTCTTCTACATGTAGCCTGGATGTATTACCTCCTAGATTTCTTAAATCTGTTCTGAGCAGTCTTTTACCTTCACTCACGCATATAGTAAATATGTCTCTTGAATCTGGAACATTCCCAATGGCCCTGAAAACGGCAGTCATCAGACCCCTCCTAAAAAAGAGGAGTCTGGATGCCTTGGCACTTAAAAGTTATCGGCCCATTTCAAATCTGCCTTTCATGGGTAAAATTCTAGAAAAAGTTGTCTATCACCAACTTACAGAATTTTTAATAATCAATCACTCTTTTGATATGTTCCAGTCTGGTTTTAGACCCCACCACAGCACAGAGACCGCTCTAGTGAAGGTAACAAATGACATCAGACTTAACACTGACGCAGGAAAAGTCTCAGTTCTTATCCTGTTAGATTTGAGTGCTGCTTTCGACACTGTCGATCATGGTATCCTCATTCAGAGACTTGAGGACTGGGTTGGTGTTTCTGGAACAGCCCTAAGCTGGTTTATATCCTACCTACAGGACAGAAAGTATTTTGTGTGGAGATCGGAAACTGTGTCTCAGACCACAGAGAAAATACAAAAATTAAACACATATTTATTTAATTAAATATCATTATACTTATTTCTATTGTATTGAGTTATTTGCGTGCACAAAATATCGCAATACTGAACAGAATTGTTTTTTTCCCCAATGGGAGATCTGAAGCCTGCGTAGATTCAGTCTGGTAGGCGAAATGTTGCAGAACATCAAAGCCAGCCTTTAACCCTCGGCCAATCACAGCACTGCAAACCTACGCCAATTAAGCAGCTGTGTAAAAAGCAGAAACTTCCCGACATCTAACCCTTTCCCAAGTTCTGGCGTCACTTTCGTCTCCTCACGCCTCACAACCACCTTCTCGACCTTTTAGCCACACTCTCATCTCAACTTTCACCCTTATGCCACCACCAGTACCTAGGTCCTGGAGGATAAAAAGCAGCACACAAGTGACACACAAAACGACACACAAGGAAATGCCATCACAAAGTGCCGCTGCTGGGGCCTAGGCTGCCAAACAAACTAACGAATACATTCATTTGATGAAATGTTGTGTCTCTCCAGATTGAAATATTGGTTTGATTCATATGTTCTTCTCTGTGTTGTTGTCCTGGACCTGTGTGTGCATGCATGTGTATTTGTACAAAAAAAATTGTTATTTCTTTTGTTCACAAAACCTTCCGCTCTATGGGAAAGTGAACATTAGTGCCGCCTGCAGGTGTACATGTGCTATGTCTGGGTCCGTCACCTTGTCGTGGTCGATTTCCGTGTCTCCGGTGATGACGATCCTCTTCTCGATGCGCGTCTCGGATATGCCTCCTTTCACCGTCTGCACACACAACAACAGCAATGTCAGCGTGCGGCGGATTTACGGTTTCCAGTCGGAGCCCAACGAGACAAAGGAGAGACTTTAGAGACAGCCTGCCTCGTCACAGTAATACACAGTCATCGCTGCTGTTGCAAAAGCTGTGGTGAAAATGTTAATGTATGCAGGCAGCTGTAATGGAGACACTGGGAGAACATTTGGAGACGACACACTCACTACTTGCTCAAATCCCATAATTCTTTTGGGCATGGGGACGGGGGGTGGGGGGTAAAGTCACGAGCTGTGGTTGATGTGCAGTGGGTGTTGAGTCGAGTTTGAAACCAGCGCAGCTTGGAGGCTCAGTGAAGACGGGAGACAGATGGGTGCGGCAGGACGAACTACCCCAGTTTTTTTAATCTATTCAATTTATTTTTGTATGGTCCGGAAAATAAGAGCCGAGGCAACGATAGAAATGCTTGGAACAAATGACAAAGCGTTTATTTCCAGGTTTTTCAGACGGAGTGCACAGTTTTTTAAGAGTCCAAACAAGATTGATACGACAGAGGAACACTGTGACCTTACAGATGAAATCCCCTGAATATCGTGTCTTGCATTTGTCCTGAGTCATATCCGAGCCACAGCCTTAAATCAACGGTCGTCTTGGAGGACTTGACAAAGTTGTCAAATGACCGACAACAGATCAGAGAATCAAACAACAACACAAGAAATGTTTAATAAAAAGGCATAAATGTCCATAAATGTCCCAGTTCACACTGTCTTTAAACCCTTCTGCAACAACAAAAACCCAGTGGGAAAAGATGTGCGAACAAGAGTCAACCTGGATAATTCACTGGGAGACATGAATCCTCCAGGTCTAAATGATAAAAAGGACCTCTCTACTTATTTTTGTCCGATGGTTCTTGAAGTAAAAATTCTAACCGTTATGTCTGTAATCCATGTCTGTCCACATTCACCGTCTTACATTATCATGCTAGTATTACTATTATTGTCATTGGATGAGCTTTTTTCTCTGATATTTTTGTTTGTTATTCTCTGCCCAGGGTCCCATTATTCCTCTTCTGTGAAATGATATTCATGACTTTTTTTATATAAACAATAAAAATCCTGCGACTGGGACCACATGATTTTATTTCAAAAACCAGCTGAGACGGCCACGTTATAATCGAGCCCAGAAGGAGTGCTATAGAGCCAAAGTGTGTAAGCTTCTCTCGTCCATGTTCCAATAAAGGTCTGTTTCACAAAATAACTATTTTTTGACATGTTTAAACTCTTTGGAAGAAAATATTTTGATCCCCTGATGCACTTGATGTTACGTCCACGGGTGTCACAGACGGGCAAGAAAAAAAGTTCCTTGTTTATGTGCGCACAAGTGAAACATGATCTTGTGAGAATCATTTGTCACATTGAAAAAATGTATAAAATATGAGTTAATAAATGCTTAAATCAAGAGGTTTTTATCTTAATTTGTGTACATTCTGACTGTCTAAAAACTAGATTTGCCAATAGGACAAAGCCTCATTCCAAAGGAAACATTTCTTGTATCTTTTTAAAACAAGATTATTTAGCTTTTTCTATTGGCAACTCTTGTTATAATGTTTCATAAAGTGTTCAAAGTAAGATACATCTTGGCAAATTTGAGCAATTTTTGACTGATATTTTATCACTTTTTGCAGTGTATGGACCAGGGTGTGTTCAAACTTTTTTCTACGGTGACTCAAATGACAGCAGCCCTCTCATTGGATACTCTGCTTATTATTGACATAATTTGAGTTGTAATAAAATTAAGAATAACTGTTTAATTTGAGCATGTGTTCAAGAGGTGTTCAGTGAGGGGGGTATGTTGTCGATCTAGGTTTTTAAGTGACTGGGCACCAAAGACTATAAGCAGATGGACAATGCTAACCTCCTCAGCCTAACTCAATCAAGCCAAATAGGGAAAAAGTGCTCATGAACAAAGTTTTGCTCAATCTCGCCCTGGCACCTATGGACTTACATGTAAAAGTAATCCCCTTTTGTGTCACACTCACCGTTTTGGTCTATACAAATCTGTAGTTTAGCTCTCTCTATAATACCGCTGTAAAAATTGTGCTGTTGTCTTTGTAAATCCAGAGAGTAGTTGAGACAGAGGGGGTACCTTGGTGATCTGAGTTAACTCCACTTAAAACATTTGTAAACAAATGGTCAAATCTGGTTAGTAAGTTGTATTTATTTTAAGTAAGCAAGTAAAGTGTTTTACATTTGTTGTGGGCATTTGTCTCTCACTCCACACAGAGATGGAAGCGAGGTCCTCACACTGCATTAAGCATATCTCACTGCCTTAAAATAACATTTGCCAAAGGGACAAGAAAAAATATTTTAACCTTTCAAGATAGAAGACATTTCTTCCTTAGGAAAGCGAAAATAAAGCAACAGTTCTTGAGTTAAGACTAAATTGCTTTGTCCCATTGGAAAATCTTCAGAGAATCTTGAATCAGAATGAATTCAAATTAAGATTGAAAAAACTCAAATCAATTATTACCTCTTATTTTATCATTTTTTGCAGTGCACTTTCATTTCATTCCTCACTTCAAGGATTCAAGGATTTGTCCAATATAAGTGATTGTCTGGAGATGACTTATTTTATATCAAAATGTAAGGCCAGGAGGTCAATTTAACACAATTCCTAAAATGTGTAATTAATTTAGAGTTACAGACTATCACTTTAAATACATATTTCACCTCATGTTTGACCCTAACACTGCCCTCATTAACAATTTCTCTGTCTTTAAGAAAAACTTCCGGTCCAGAGACAATGAATACGATCCTTCTGTTTCTAAAGTGACGCAGAGATAATAAAACTGTCAAAAGCTTTTGTCTAATTATAATTGATTTGACAAACGCATGGCTCAGTGAGTTTGAATGAACAAAGTCATTAGAATTAAGTTAAATGTGCGCAGAGCCAATGAGGTCTGGAGCAGCTACATATATATTATAAATATTGTGAGTGGTCTGTTCTAGTGTATAAAACTTTATTATTAACCAAAAAAGTTTCCCGATTTGAATCCATTCCCTTGTTATTTTAGTATAGCTACTTCCATCTTTTGCAGTTCAACTAATTACGGTCATAAACATAATATTCTCTCTACATTTTAATGTTATAATGGAAGGAGAGCAGAGAGAGCTGTGTGTCCATGCTCTCCCTGGTCACTACTGCAGGTATCGATCAGCCCTACAGAGGGGGGTGTGGGGGCAGGACAGGCAGAGGACGGGCCGCCCTGACCCCAGGATAAGCCCCATGGATTTATACATATCCTTTAGTCCACCTTCATGATCACCTCAGCTACAGAGGAAATACTCCACAGTTCACAATGATTCAGAATGGAGATTACAATTGTTCACTTTATATTATTATTGTTTCTCCTACCACTAAAACCCTTTACAATAGTTCAGCCATGCGCCTCCTGATGACCTCGCTCCTATCTCTGGAGTGAGAGACAAATGCTCACAGCTATTGTAAAGTACTTGGTGACTCTGGTTTGTGAGAGGTGCTATATCAACTTCGTAGATTTTACATGATGCACCATTCATTAAATAATACTTAGTAAATAAATATAATAAATATAATAAACATTTAACTTGACTCACCCTTTTGTCTTTTCATAAGCCAGCATCATCATCAGATTATTATCATAGGAATCGTGTGTCTCAGGGTCAGAGGTCAATCTAATCTGGATTGTGTTTCATCTAGATTAGATCACAATAAAATAACTTGTTGTAGAATGTTGTTATAATTTATCATTTGTTTTCACATTCTAATATATTCAATGTTGATGTAAGTCTAGCCTTACTCTCGCCAGACCCATGTAGTTCGCTGCATTTCAGCCAAACGCCTCTGGTGGAGCATGTCGGAACTACAAGGGTCTGGCGAGAGTCAGGCTACTTACCGTCATGTTTAAAGGAGAAAATAATGCATAATGACTATATTTATAGGATAATTTTTGATCAACAGATTTTGGTATTTTATTGTATTTTTGTTTATTTAGCTGTTCGTTTAATTTGAGCATGTGTTCAAGAGGTGTTCAGTGAGGGGGGTATGTTGTCGATCTAGGTTTTTAAGTGACTGGGCACCAAAGACTATAAGCAGATGGACAATGCTAACCTCCTCGGCCTAACTCAATCAAGCCAAATAGGGAAAAAGTGCTCATGAACAAAGTTTTGCTCAATCTCGCCCTGGCACCTATGGACTTACATGTAAAAGTAATCCCCTTTTGTGTCACACTCACCGTTTTGGTCTATACAAATCTGTAGTTTAGCTCTCTCTATAATACCGCTGTAAAAATTGTGCTGTTGTCTTTGTAAATCCAGAGAGTAGTTGAGACAGAGGGGGTACCTTGATGATCTGAGTTTGGAGCAGGGGTGTCAAACTAGTTCCAGAAAGGGCCGGTGCGGCTGCAGGCTTTAGTTCCAACCCGAGCAGGAGCAAACCAAACTCCACCCATTTCCTGAAACCTTCAGCTTAAAACCGAACTCACCTGAGGAAGTGGATGGAGTCTTCTGCGCTACTGCTCAGGTTGTAATAAAAAACCTGCAGCCACACCGGCCCTTTGAGATCCGGTTTGTCACCCCTGGTTTAGACTGAGCCGTTACCTTGGTGATCTGGGTGGTGGTGGTGGTGCTGACGGTCTCTGATGTGATGGTCTGGGCACTCAAAAGAACCCCTGTGTCCTTCTCCGCCATGTTGTCTCCCGGCTGTAAGAGAGATTCCACAAGTCAACTCCAAAAGACCAGAAGCAGGAGGAGGACTTTATAAGCATCCTAAATCATTCCAAATCAATCTTACCCTAAATAGAACGGCTGAAGTGAGTAAACCTGACCCTACTACTTAACATGATCGTTGAGAAATACCGACTTGACATCTCCTGCATTAACCATGGAGCGGAGTAAAGAGGGAAGCACCGAGATACGTGAGTGTGAAGCGTGAAGAGTGTCCAGTCAGCAGGACGTAAGAGCAGAGGATGTTAGTGTGTGATTTAGCACGTGCACTCTCACTCACCCTCACTATTGATGCAGCCATCGCATGATTCATTCAGACGCTACTAAAATACAGGAACCTCACGACAGAGAACAGGACCGTGACAAAGGGCCTCACTATCATTATTGCAGTGAAACTAATATATATTTTCTTGTTCATCAACTTCTGCGCAGCACTCCAATCCAGCTGTACGCGGAAAACAAATGATCATAAATAACACGTGTGGAATAACGCCCCCCGGATTATTCATGGGTACTACGACAGCCGCTCGTGGAGTAAGGCCACAGACGCTTTCATCAAAACAGGAAATCATTAGTGATCATATATGAAGGAGAAATATGTTGTTTGGAAAATGATGTATCTATGAATTGAATAAGTAATAAGTACATAATAACAGTCAGACACAGGCGCCAGAGCTAGAGGAGAGCAGCTTCAGCCTCAGAGGAAGGGGGGGGGCTGAGGATGACCTGCACTTCAGAAGCTGGTGCGTGTATGCAAACGATAGAACAATAACATGCTACAGGGAACAGAACCGAGACCTAAGCACCAGACGCACCAGATACACAGCTCTCTGTTCCCTGGATACAGGTCTGAACCAGGACCAGAGCTCTCTCCCCTCAGACCAGGCTCCGATGGACAGCCGTATTCCTTGAGTTGCCTCATGCACAATTATTCATGTGCGCGGTATACGTGTCTTATCTTTAGTTTGAAATCAAAGGTCTCTCACTAATCAGAATCAGAATCAGAATCATTTTTATTGCCACGTAAGTAACAGGAGGTCACAGACTTGGAAATTGCTTTGGCTCAGTGCAACAGTCAAAAAGAGATAATAAAAATAAGAATAAAAAACACTTCTAAAGAATAAATAAGTCCCCAGTATTTGTATACATGAGTGTAGTTTCAGGACACACCAGTTGAGAAACACTGGTTTGCAGTATGACAAAGGGGCCTGTGGGGCCTGAGGAACGGGGACCCATTCCAGACCTGCAGGGGTCTACAACATGAGGACTACGACAGGGCAAACCCGGTCCCACCTGAGCCGACTCGTAGGTGATGGTCTTGGTCTCGGTGTGGACCAGGGGCATCTCTTTGTAGGCCACAGTTCCTCTCAGAGAGTTGGTGACGTCTGAGATGGTGATTGTCTGGGTCTTCAGCACCGGAGACTGAAACAACAGAGCACGCTGTGAGCACGGAGAGCCATAAAACCAGGTCTAAAGCAGGACTAAAGCAGGACTAAAGCAGGACTAAAGCAGGTCTAAACCATGTCTAAGCCAGGACTAAAGCAGGTTTAATGATCTGAAGCAGGTCTGAAGCAGGTCTGAAGCAGGATTAAAGCAAGTATAGAAGCAAGATTGAAGCGGGACTAAAGCAGGACTAAAGCAAGCCTACACCAGAAATAAACCAGGGCTAAACCAAGTCTAAAGTAGCTGGACTACAGCAGGACTAAAGCAGAACTAAAGATGCAGGATAATAAATGCTAGGTGGCTGGTTTAGATCAGGTAAAAACGACTCAAACTAAAACAGCTAACACCAATTATATTATCATTTTCTGTTCATGGCAAAGAAACAGGCTGTTATTAGCTCTGGGTTTACATGCACTTAGCCGAGGGCCCGTTTGAGACCGTTCAGAGCGAAGCAGAAAACCAATGTGAGATCGAAAGCTTGAGATATAGCCAAGACAGAAGAGCAAGCCATACAGCAGCAAATCCTCCAATTCAAGATGGACTTATAAAAATATACTATCTTGGTGAACATAACATGCAAAGTATTCTTAAACAATTGAGTAAATGCAAATGACAAATGCAAATTGTCATCAGAAAGTACAACAAAGAAGCAAGCAGTGAAAAAATATCCATAAGTCAATCCTCAGACACATGCCAGCCTTGCCCTGCCCCCTCCTCTTATTGTTCCAGTGTGAATGAGTGGCAGGCGTGTTCAACCAATCGCAATCAAGCGTGCGCTCTTTGAGAAAGCAAGACAAATGCATAAGTGTGAATGGTTTCATGATGCAGAGTTTTGAGAGTATGAAATTAATCAGAAACGGCTGAATGTGATTGAATACCTGTGTGAATGTACAGAGGCACGTCTCCAGAAGCCATCACTCCACTGTGTTAGCTAACAGTGTCACAAAGCTAATTGATGATTCAGAAACCCTTGTGCAATGATGCAGGCAAAACCAAAGTTACAAATGATAAAATGTCTAAACACTCAGCACAGTAGCTGAGGTTAGCACTCGCTTCTCAGCAAGAAGGTCCTAGGTTTGTATAAGAGTATCAAAAATGTCCATAAACATTAAACTGTTAAACACATTGCAGCTTAAAGTCAGATATTACATTTTTTCAACGTCTTTTGTGGTTTCAAAGTAGGGATGCACCGATCCAGCTTTTTTACTACCGATACCAATACCGATATCAGACCTATGGGTATCTGCCGATACCGATATTTACCGATACCGGAAGCAGTTTGAGAAAACCATAGTATTCAACAATAGATGGCGGCTGAAAGCCCAAAACGATGAACTCCAACCCTTTGAGCTTTTTGTGAAGCTGCAAAGCATCCTCCAGTGTCATTTTTGTCTCGTTGTTTTTGCGTCATCTCCTTTCGCTGGTGCATAGTAGTGTTGTATTTTGCTAGTTTATCGCCGCCTCTGGAAACATCACATTTGCATATATTGCATGAGGTTGTCTGACTCGTTGATGAAGGTGGTGTAAAAGACGCTGCACAGCTGATTCTTTCCTGCGCTAAATGCTTGGTCGTTGTTGCACAGTGTCACGAGGAAGTGACGTGTACGCGTGAGATCTGATAAATTACTTCCTTTTACGTATTACGTACTTTATACGTATGTTATGCACAATTTATTTTAAGAAATTGTGCTGCACCTCGTATATTTGTATAAAAAAAAAAAGAAATGGATTGGCTGCACGATGCAGCTCTCTATGGCAATATCCGATACAGTGTTTTTTCTGGTATCGGCGCTGATATTGATACCAGTATCGGATCGGTGCATCCCTATTTCAAAGTTAGGTGCACCAGCTTTAAATGAATTGTTAAACTTATACCGCAGATACCCTGAAGTATAGTAACTGTGAATGAATCAAAAGTCACAGCGCTGTTACATAGAAATAACACAAACACACATTTATTCAAGATTTCACGTCACACTGAAGATGAGCTTGTGAAACACAGCTCATAGACATGCTCCTGGGCCCACAGCAGCATGCACACACTTTATTATCACACTTTTATTTCAGCTCGGAGACAACAGGGAATATCTATAACAATGAGGCCAGAGAATGAAGAGCCAGACAGAGGATTTACGGCTGCACGAGGCTAAGTGTGCGTCCGGTTCTAATGGACGCTGTAAATCAACAGATAAAGAGGTTTAAGTGAGTATGAGACAAGAAGTATTAGAAGCATATGATATATGGAATACATGCTGTGTTTTATTCCAACAAAAGGAAAAGAATATAAGATTTGAGCTTTTCGTAAAATGGTAAGACAGGCTGAGAATGTGTTTTAAGGGGCCGTAAAGGTAATCATTGGATTTATTACTGATCTTGATTCTGAACATGTATGTGAATGTAAAAACTTAAACAATTTAATATGGTCCATATCATTATGTTTCTCAATTTTCAAGCAGAAAATCCAATCAGAATAAGGCCCTTTGGGTTTCCAGTTTTTTGCTTTAAATATTACTGGTTTAGGCTCCATCTTTTTTCCCAAAATTTAAGAAAATTCACACACAAAAAACATAGCACCACACATTTGTAATTTAAAAGAAGATACAAAACAAAGTGCTCTTTGTAACACGCAGAGTTTGTAACACGCAGTGTTTCTAGCTAAACCCCAGAAGGTGGTTTGTCACTGGCTGAAACATTCTCTCCACAAAAGTTGGATTGTATAAAAAATGACTTTATTAAACCACTAGGAGAGCGTATTACATATGGTCCCTTTAAGTGATAATGATAGTTTAGAGAATGGGCAGACTTCTGTGGGCGCCTGGGCTCGGTGTGGGGTGTTAGGATTTGTCAATATGGCCAAAAATGGACATATTTCATCTCGATATGAGATGGAAATATCACAATAACAATATATTTCACAATATAAATAGTACTGAAGAAAATATTATTACTTCTATTAACCTGACTTACGTGTGTGTGCAGCCATCCAATTAAGTTCTATTTGTGAAATCCAAAGTTTACAATCTTATAGGTCCGCAAGAAGAACCATTTATTTTCCATTCAAAAACCACAATGTGAAAAGGGAAGACTCATTGTGCTGCTGTCCTCTGCAGCTGTGATCTCACTGCACACGCTCAGGACAAACGTAAACAACAGAAACTATCATATTTCAGTTTCAAACGTCCCTCAAATTTATACCGGTAATAATTACTGAACGGTCTTATCGCCCGCTTGGTTTTTTTGTGTCTCAAACAGTACTGTGTACTGTACATTACTATATGTACTGTACATTACTATATGTACTGTACATTACTATATGTACTGTACATTACTATATGTACAGTAGTCCAGTGTTTCTGAGTGGAGTTTGCATGTTCTCCCCGTGTCTGCGTAGGTTTCCTCCGGGTACTCCGGTTTCCCCTACCACTAAAAATATGTCCAATAGTTCTGGCATGCGCCTCCTGTACTGGCGACCCCGCTCCCATCTCTGTGTGGAGTGAGAGACAAATGCCCAAAAATTAACAATTGTAAACCGCTTTGAGACTCAGATCTGCAGTGAAAAGGCGGTATATAAATAAAAACGTACTTACTAACTTACTTACTTTATCACGGGGTTATGTTCTAAAAATATCCCGCGATAAAAGACTGAAGCCACAGTACGTCTCTGAACTAATCACTGCGGTGCACACAAACCACAGATGTTTTCTTCTGACTTTAAACAAAGTGTATATGATGATCTTGGAGCATGAGAAGCACGCTGTAGAGGGGGGAATTGGGAAAAATATTTCCCAATATTTGGGCCACAAATCACTATTATTTGTATCTGTATTTTGCGATTATTAACATTGCAACATTGCAATACAGTATTACAATTTGATTTCAAATTAGGAGGGTACAGTGCAAAAACATGTTTGCACATTTCGTTTCTTTTTTACAACCTGGGTGATCCTATTTATGCCAAATGTGACATGTAAATGTATCCATTGTGAGATCAATAAAGTATATCTTATCTTAAAAAGGTTATTCTTGAATATTCAGAGAATAATGATGACTTGTCTTGTAAGAAGGTCCTGTGCCTTCTCACTTCAGCAAATCACTAAATTATTCAAATACAGACTTAAATCAGACATAGAGTCATTTCCATCTGAGGTTTGTATTACTCTGAGTAAACTCAGAAAACAAAAGTGAAACAGATTCATATTTATTTAAATACTGCAATACTTTGCTCTGAACAGAATAGATTTTATCCTCCACCACTAAAAATGCAAAATTACACAGAAATAAGTCTGAAACAGCGAGACAGACGGCACAGTATGATATAGTATCGAGTTCTGTGCACTATTGTGAGCTGAATGAGAAAGAGGGGGCTCAGATAAAATAAGCGTCTTTTTAAAAACTGTGTTGGTGAGAAGATCAGTGAAATTGTTTGGCAGGTTTGAAATAAATCCTTTAACTGAGTAAGTCAACATAAGAGAAAGCTGCAGATGAGGGAGGAGTAAGATGGAGCCGTGCGGCAGGTGGAGTTTTGGTCTAATATTAGCGTGGTCTCAGTGGGGGCTCCATATGGCAGCGGACACTGGTTGTTGCCAAACTAAAGACTACATCCGTGCGGCCGTGCCAAGGCAGAAGCACGACAGAGAGACTGGTCTGAAACTGTCCTCATTGTTGGAGAATTGAATTAGACCTCAGTGATCATCTGAGGAGAGATATTAAAGCTAAAAGAACCAAACATTCAAACATGTGAATTTGAAGACAAAGACAAAAGCTGTCCCTTTAATACTACTAACATTAGTATTATATTAGATTTGAGTCAGTTTCAACTACAGCCTGACTCACATGAAATGCAATTCATTTGATTAATTGTTTCAGCCCCATATGTCACTAACTTACAGTATTTTCATTTATTCAGAAACTGTGCATTCTAAACTTCTGATTCCGGTCCTCCCTATAGTCCTTATTACTCCATATAGTCCATCACTGCA